AGCCATTGCAATTAGATAAGAGGAGGAAATAAAAGGCATCCAAATTGGAAAAGAAGAAGTAAAGTTATCCTTATTTGCAGATGACATGATATTGTACATAAAAAACCCAAAAGACTCCATTAAAAAACTGATTAACTTAATAAATGAATTTGGCAATGTAGCAGGATACAAAATTAACGCCAAGAAATCCATGGCATTTCTATACACCAACAGTTAAACTACAGAAACAGAGACTAAAAAATCAATTCCATTTACCATCGCACCAAAAAAATTAAGATACCTAGGAATAAATTTAACTAAGGAAGTAAAGGACCTATATGCAGAAAACTACACGACACTGAAAAAAGAGATAGAGGAAGATGTAAAGAGATGGAAGAACATACCATGTTCATGGATTGGTAGAATCAACATCATCAAAATGTCCATACTTCCTAAAGCAATCTATAGGTTCAATGCACTCCCCATTAAAATACCAACGACATATTTCACTGACCTAGAAAGAAGTCTCCAAAAGTTCATTTGGAACAATAAAAGACCCCAAATAGCCATAGCAATCCTGAGAAAGAAGAGTAAAGTTGGAGGGATCTCAATACCAGACTTCAAACTATATTACAAAGCCACTGTTCTCAAAACAGCCTGGTACTGGCACAAGAACAGACATATAGATCAATGGAATAGAATTGAGAACCCAGATATCAACCCAAATCACTATGCTCAACTAATATTTGACAAAGGAGGCACGAATATACAATGGAGTCAAGACAGTTTCTTCAATAAGTGGTGTTGGGAAAATTGGACAGACACATGCAAAAGAATGAAACTAGATCACCAACTTACACCATACACAAAAATAAACTCAAAATGGATGCAGGACTTAAACATAAGACGGGAAACCATAAAAATACTAGAAGTATCCACAGGCAGCAAAATCTCAGACGTATGCCAAAAGAACTTCTTCACTGATACTGCCCCTAGGGCAATGGAAACTAAAGAGAAAATAAACAAATGGGACTACATCAAAATAAAAAGCTTTTTTACAGCAAAAGAAACCATCAACAAAACAACAAGAAAGCCCACGGTGTGGGAGAACATATTTGCAAATAATACCACTGATGAAGGCTTAATCTCCAACATTTACAGACAGCTTACACAACTAAATAAAAGGAAGATGAATGATCCAATTAAAAAATGGGCAATGGACCTAAATAGAATATTTTCAAAAGAAGACAGAAGGAAGGCCAAAAGGCACATGAAAACATGCTCAAAGTCACTAATTGTCCGAGAGATGCAAATCAAAACAACAATGCGGTACCATCTCACACCTGTCAGAATGGCCAACATCAACAAATCAACATACAACAAGTGTTGGCGAGGTTGCGGAGAAAAAGGAACCCTCGTGCACTGCTGGTGGGAATGTAGACTGGTGCAACCACTGTGGAGAACAGTGTGGAGTTTCCTCAAAAAACTGAAAATGGAACTCTCATTTGACCCAGTAATCCCACTTCTAGGAATATATCCCAAGAAACTAGAAACTCCAATCAGAAAAGATATATGCACCCCTATGTTCATAGCAGCACAATCTACAATAGCCAGAATTTGGAAACAGCCTAGGTGCCCGTCAGCAGATGATTGGATCCAAAAACTATGGTACATCTACACAATGGAATACTATGCTGCCATAAAAAAGAAGGAATTCTCATCATTTGCAGCAACCTGGATGGAATTGGAGAACATCATGCTGAGTGAAATAAGCCAATCAATGAAAGAGAAACACCACATGACCTCACTAATTTGTGGATAATAAAGAACATTATAAACTGATGAACCAAAAGATAGATATAGAGACAGTAAAGCAACAAGCAGACTGTCAAATTACAGCGGGGAGGGGAGGAGGATCTGGGGGAGATAATAGATCAACTGAAGGATTTGTATACATGCATATAAGTACAACCAATGGACATAAAACTCTGGGGAGGGAGGGGATATGTGGGAGGGAAGGGGGGGCAAAAAAATCAATAAAATTTATTAAAATAAATAAAAATAAAATAAAATAAAAAGAAATTAATGGCATTAATTCCTGATTCTAAAGAAGAAAATAAAGATGCCTCCTCTTTCCGGGATCTTTGTTACTGCCCTGCTTGTCTTTTTATTTCTTTGTTGTTATCTTTTCTTTTTTTTCTTTTATATCTTTTTTTTTTTTTTCTTTTTTTGTCATTCACACCCGAGGATATTTTTTCCATTGATTTTCAGAGTGGGAGGGAGAGAGACACATTACTTGTTCTCTCAGGCACATGCCCCAACTGCGCCCTTGACCTGGAATGGAACCCGGGACCTTTCTATGCATATGCCGATGCTCTAACCACTGAACAGCATCAGCCAGGGCCACTCAGTCTCTCTTAAGACTACTCAGCTCTGCCCTTGTAGTATAGACAATGCATAAATAAGTGCCTGTGGCTATATTCAATTAAACTTTATTTACAAAAATAGGTGGCAAACATAGTTAATCCTCAGGCATAAGTTGCCAACTGCTATTCAATACCCCTGTTTACTGCTCCAAAGCTCTGAAGTATTTCTGCCTCATGTCTGCGACCTTTCATTACACAAGCTCACATACAAATCTCTAAGGGCTATGCCACTGGGAACCCTGAGGAGACATCTGGGCCTTCCACTCTCAAATCCGCACCCCCCACTCCCAAACCCCACTCCCACTTACCTATCCCTCCCTCCCCGTCCCAACAACCCAACCAAGTCCATGCCCAGTCGGTTAGCACAGCCTCTGAGGCTGTATTATGCTCAGGTGAAGGTAGCGCTCTGGGCCAGGTGGCTTGGAGACCAGTTCTTCCCCAGTTATAAAACCTGTCTCACGGAGATTTCAAAGTCAAAATGGAGATGCAAGTCTGCTTACTATGTTGGACTTGGGAATGGAATCTGTCACACCTTAATTCTACAGACCATAACCTGCTTTCCTACCCTTCAGAAATCCTTACATCTCCATATTTACATTTGTATTTCTGACAAAAAAGAGTCACTTATGGAAGTGACATCTGATGTCCTACAAATAAGAAAAACAAAGATTCAGAATCTTGGAAGGAAATTCACAGGATGAGCAAGAGGAGAACATCTTTCCTCAGAGACTTAGAAACTTTAGAAGAAAAAAGGACTCCAACAGTAAGAGACCATTTCATGCAAAAACAACCAAAAAAAGGGGGTGAGGGGACAATTGACATTTACCTACTAAAGTGAAAAATTAAAATAATTTTCAACTGATCTGGCCATAAAAGGACTGGCTTGGAAACTCTGGAGCAAAGAAATTATGCTTCTGTACAAGATTAGGGAAGGCCTGTGCAACTCAGAGACCTACAATAATCGCAAAGGATGGTCTGAAATTAAAAAAAAAAATTAAATATATTTTATTGATTTTTTACAGAGAGGAAGAGAGAGGGATAGAGAGCCAGAAACATCAATGAGAGAGAAACATCGATCAGCTGCCTTTTGCACACCCCCTACTGGTGTTGTACCCACAACCCAGGTACATGCCCTTGACCGGAATCGAACCCGGGACCTTTCAGTCCGTAGGCCGATGCTATCCATTGAGTCAAACCGGAAATTAAATATTTTTTTTAACTAAAAAGCAGTTTATGGTGGGTAGTCATGTCCTAGGCTGGTATCTTCCCTGACAAAGGTAAACCTTTACCTTAACTGAACCTGTCTATTCACTTTTTGTATCTATGATAACATCTCATTGGAATATCAAAGTAATTTTCCTTTTTCTGGACCCCTCCAGGCAGAGGCACCACTCTGTGGAGACCACACATCTCCTCATTGTTATGAAGTTAATTGTTGACTGTTAACTATCCTGCACCCACCTAAGTAAAAGAAGTATGTGTCTATCATTTTACTTTTTATCCAATCCCAGAGGTCACCTGCTTTGCCCACCTCTCTAATCACCAATGATTCATGTAACCCACTTATGCCTCCTCTTTTGATTATAATGTATAAGGTGCAAAACTGCCATTCTCCAGATCATTATCTCAATCTGTTGAAATTCTGCTTCCCGGCAATGCTCCATAATTTGGCTCAAATAAACTCACAAAATGTTTTTACAGGTTTGAATGTTTCTTACATTAACAGCATCTATGTGTAAAGAGAATGAAAATGATGAAAAACAAATTAATCATATAATTTACAATGAAAGTGAGGAATGATAATAGGTGTGTGTGTGTGTGTGTGCGCGCGCGCGTGTGCGTGTGTGTGTGTGTGTGTGTGTGTGTGTGTGTGTGAGAGAGAGAGAGAGAGAGAGAGAGAGAGAGAGAGAGAGAGAGAGAACCAACACTAATACAGCTGCAATGGAGAGAGGGAGGGAAGAGGGAGAGGGAAGGAAGGAAGGGAGGGAGGGAGGGAGGGAGGAGGGAGGGAGGGAGGGAGGGAGGGAGGGAGGGAGGGAGGAGGGAGGAAAGAAGGAAGGAAAGAAGGAAGGAAGGAAGGAAGGAAGGAAGGAAGGAAGGAAGGAAGGAAGGAAGGAAGGAAGGAAGGAAGGGAGGGAGGGAGGGAGGGAGGAAGGGAGGAAGGGAGGAAGGGAGGAAGGGAGGAAGGGAAGGAAGGGAGGAAGGGAAGGAAAGGAAGGAAAGAAGGAAAGGAAGGAGGGACGGAGGAGGGACCGAGGAGGGACGGAGGGGAGAGGGAGGGAAGAGGAAAGAAGCTAAATTAGGGGGAAATCTTGTTCCATGCTTCTCATAGTTCTATATATCCCACAGGTCAAGATTGCAGATGCCTAAAGACAATCTCAGTAGGCAAAAAAAAATTCTAAGTATATGAGAGTAACTTTCACTTTACATTGAATGTCATAAAAAGCAGTTTTGCCACTTAGGATAGAAAGCAGAATGTAATTCAGTTTCATCTTATTGGGACCTCGTTTCCATGTCACATATTAGCTCTCTGTAATTCCACATGTATCAACACATGGCACACTTTTCTTAAACAAAGAGAGACCACATTCTTGCTGTTTTAAAGTATTTGTTATTATTGTTCCTGTTTAATCAGCCTTCACTGAATCAAGGGCCCTGGGGTGAGGATGGTGAGGGAAGGAAGAGGGGCTAGACAGTGGACAAAGGAGAGACAAGTATGATAAACAGAGCAGTGAGGGGCCCTGGGAGAGTGCCCGGAGATACTCTGGAGGGACAGCGGGGGTCCAGGCAGGGTCTCTGGTCACTCATTGGACGATGGCAGGCGTGGTCTTCTCGGAGGGGGAGGACAGCACTGAATTCTCCCCCAGTAGCTTCTTCTCAGATTCTTCAGATTCTTCCTCACCCTAAAACAGACAGAGGGAGTCAACTCTTGGGGGGGAAAGGAAAGGGCAGAGGCAGCTCCACAGAACTTGAAATCAGGAAAATGAGAGGAAAGGAAAGGTAAGGGGTGCTAAACAAAGATCTAGGACACAAGGGAAGGGAAAGTGGGAGAATGAGAGTGAATGAGGGTACGGAGAGTTGTAGGGCCCAGTGATGGGTCACATTCCCCAGAGAGCCAAGGGCAAAGCCCAGCCCTATGAAGAGGTTGAGGAAGGTGGAGCATGACCTCTGAGAAGCAGTGTTCCCGGTCCCATGTTCCTCTCTGTTTTCGGGGCCTCACCCGATGGGGACCACTCTGCCCCAATGCCTTCCTAACAGCTTACCATGGGCTGGGAGCTCTGGCCACACAAGCTTAGAAGGCCCAAACCCAGGGAAGCCAAGGATACAATGGCCTGTAGGGCACAGACAGCCAGGAGCAGAATACGAATTCCTAGGAACAAGTTCTGGAGATAAGGGAAGAAAAAAGATTAGAATCAGGAGTCCACTTTTCTGATTCTGCTCTGAGTACCACCTAATTATCTCTTTCCCCCAAAGGAATCAAACCGCTCAACTAACTACTTCTTCCCACCAAAGCAGATTCCACCCCATTTGCTTGTCTGCCATGTGACTTTACCACCCATTATGAAGAGGTACAGTCTATTTCTCTACCCCCTACGATGTGGAAGGACCTGTGATTGCTCTGACCAATAAAATTCCATGGAAATGACACTATGCCAATTATAGGGAAATCCTTAACTGGCCTGGCAGCTTCCATTCCTACTTCTTGGAGTGCCCACTGTGAGATGCTCTGAGTTGGAATCTAGATACCACACTATGAGAAGGCCAAGTCACTGCAGGATATCTGCCTGACAGTCCCAGCTGAGCACCCAGCTAAGAGCCATTGGAGTGCACCAATGTGGATGTACAGCCCCGTCCAGCCATTGGATGACTTCATCCCCCAACTGACACCTGACTGTGACTTCATGAGAAAACCCAAGTGAGGATTGCCCATCTGAGCCCACTCAACGCACAGACTGTGAGAAGTTGTAATAACCTGTAGATTTCAGCCACTTTATTTGAGAGAGGTGTGCTATGCAGCAGTAGATAACGGGAACACCAGCCCACCAGAAAAGACAGAGGAGTGGCCCATGATACCCACTTCTAAAGATCTTCACTTTGTCTCACATCAGCTTTGATTCAGGAAATATTCATGCCAGGAGGGTCTGAGCAATGACTTCAGCTTAAGCTAAAACCTGAACCTAAGACCTAGGATGAGGTCCAAGCTCAAAGAGCCTACATCTCTGCCCTCCAGTGCCCAGTTCCTTAGGAACAACAAATGGTTATGATGGGTCCCTGGAAGATGAGACTCCCCCTTCTCACCTTCAGTAACTGCATAGAGTTCTTACACATATCCTCCAGCCAATCTGAGTAGCTTCTCTGCCATTTGTAACCAGTGGTTGTGTTGGCAGAGGCTGGGCAATCACACAGGGAGCTGAAGAGGTCGTCACTTTCCCAAGCTATTCTTTTCACACAGAGGACAACGGCAGCCATGGCCGTGCCAATGCCAGCTAGGGTTAGCAGGCCTGACATCCAGCCCTAGAAGAGAGAGGTTCAGGATGCACTCTCTCTGTTGATGGCAGAGCTGTGGGGTCCTGGCCTCAAACTTGTCTCTTCTTCCTGAGGAGACCCTCCCCAACCCTCCAGGAAAAATCTCAGGATAGTGGGACCCAAAGGGGAGAGGAGCAGAAAAACAGAAAGGGGGAGGGGATAAGGTGGGGCAATGGGGGCCAGACTCACTGATAGAATGCTCTGCTGCTTCTCATGGACAATGGTCCCAACTCCTGCTATAATAGCCTGAGAGAAGACACCAGAAAAGTCCTCCTAGTTACTCTCCTGAAGTGATCTCTGACGCTACCCTTTTCCCAACAGTTCCCACAACAGTCAGTCTGAAACATTATCCAAAGGATAGGCAAAGACACCTAGCAGATGGACCTGATGCCATACAACTGTCCCACCCTTCCGAATGTTGCCTTAAAGAGAAAAAAGGAGAGAGGGAAGGTTTTGTTCATCCCCTAAGAAGCTTCCTCTTGGCAAAGGGCATTTGGACTCTGGGTTGTTGGTCTCTTCCCCAAAACCCTGACTCAGACCCAAAGAAATTTTTCTCCTGGCCCATAACCAGTTGCCTCCCATTGAGTTCACAATCACTTCCTTAACTCACTGCAGACCCTGCCCAGAAGGCGCAGCCTGAGCCACGCAGCTCAGTCCAGGGCCCAAAGTACAGAAACACTCCAAAGGCACAGCTCACAGCTCACAGCAATATCTGGGTCACCTACAAGACAGGGAAAAAGTCAGACCCCTTTCAATGAGCCCAGGTACCCAGAAGCAGCCACCCAGCTCCTAGTAGGTACCTTTCCTCTCCTTTTCCTCTGTCCTGACCTCTCTGTAGCTGTGATTCTGGAAGGTTCTGTTCCCTTAACATCCATGAGGCCTCTAATATACTAGGCTTTTGTCCTTCATTTCTTTTTCCTAAATACCACACTTTGTCATCCCACCTGATGGTTTTCCCTTGGGAATTCCATAATCCTATCTAGGGCTGCAAAGACCCCCTGCAAGAAAGGACTATGGTTGGCTCACAGATTACAGGGGTCAGCTCCTTCAGGTCCCCTCATCTTGGTGGTGGTGCAGAGCTATTTCCACCTAGCAGGGAACTAAGTAGTGGGCAGTCTGTGCTCCCCAGGTGCCCACTGGGCTGGTAGAGACCAGTTTGGTCTACACTATGGTCTGAAATCTCCCCCTACCCAATCTTGCTTCCCTCTTTTTGTTTCATAGGTTGTTGGACCCCAATAAACCTATGCACATCTAACTCTGACTCATGTCTGCTTCCTGGAGAACCCAATTATCGCAGCATCTTGGACATTACCGCCTGCATGCCCTGCCAGCATCTCAGAATTGTCACATCTGAATCCCACACCCCACTTGCACTCCCAATGCCTGCCTCTCCTGACTTCCAAGGCTCCAACTTCCTGGTCACCCACATTCCAAGTCTCATCATGTTCTTAGACACCTCGCCTCCCGTGTAATCCAAGTCTATTCACTCCCAAGTCCTGGAAGTCCCATCCGCAAAGGATTTGGACTCTGCTCTTTCCTCTTCATTGCTGCCATGACTACACAAATGCAGACCCTCCACAATTCTTGCCTGGACAGTTCCTGGCTGTGAGGCAGCCTAAAGCCCAGGTTCCTGCTCAGAATCCACCCACAGCCCTTCTGCTATCAAAGCTGATTCAGGATAGGCTCCTCACCTGTCACTCGGGCTCTCAGCCCTGTGGTCTGCATTCTCAGTTGAGCCATTCTCTTTACTCTGCCAGAACTTGCCCTGTGCACTCTGGCTTCTTTACTCTGGACATTCTCTTCGCCTACAGTTTCTTTTCTTTCTCTATCTGTCTAAACCCACTTCTTCATTCAAGATGTAGGTCAGTTGCCAACCCTGCAGGACATCTCCCTGCCACCCAAGGACATCACCTGATCTACCTTTAATTCTAGGAATTTCTGTAGTTGCCTGATCCTTTGGTGGGTGCTGAGCACTTGCAAGTTGTGTAGCCTTGGGATTATCTCCCAAAGTGCTTGTCAGGTGACCTTTTCTGCAGGCCTCAGCCCATAGAGGTTCAATTAAAATGAACAGCTTCAGGGATCTTCCCCCAGTTTCCTCCCCCACCTCTAGCTGGGACTGCCCAGCTGCACCAAAGAAGAGTTCCTTCATTCCTTTCCATCTAAATCTCCATGGGGAAGCTTCCAAACCTTCTTTACCCAAACAAGATGGGATACAAATAGTGAATCCTCATGGGAACTCCACCCATTTCCTTTTTTACATCCTATTGAAGAAGGAGAGTTACTGTCCTTATTGCCTGGCTTGCATGCCTCTCCAGCCCACTCTTATCCCTCTTGCCAGTGGCCCATAGTTTATCCTGGGCGTGGGAGTGCCAGTTTCCTGAGGGCCAATGAAGAACTCCTTCAGGGAGCCCCCAGCTTTTAGCAGTTGTGTCAAAAACGATTCCTGGTGGATGTGGATGTTGAAGTGGGTGGGCTGGGACAGCACATAGGCCACATTGACCCCATTCACAGTCACCATGCTTTGGGCCATCCTGCCTGTTGGGGAGAAGATGTACAGAAATGAGGTCTGGGAACTGGGTGAGATAACAAGGAATACACTGCATGAAGAAAAGTAGAGAAAACAGCCTCTTTATCAAGATCCCAATGGTCTTCCCAGTGCCAATATCAATGTCACAGTGACCTTGATCTGGGCTGCAAAAGCAAATCACCTCAGGAGCTCTGCACATATTTTCCTGGGCCTCTCCCCACAATGGCCTAACACAGTTCATCTGGGTCTTGGGTTGGACAAAGAAAGGAATCTGTATTATTTATTTCAGTGACTTAGTATGTGCAGCTGAGCCTTGACCAACCAGAGTTTGGACTGTGTGGGTCCACCCATACACGGAATATTTTTTTTCAATTAATCCTGTAAATGTATTTTCTCTTTCTTATGATTCTCTTAATAACATTTATTTAGCTTATTTTATTGTAAGAATAGAGCATATATAATACATACAGTATACAATATATGTGTCATCAACTGCTTCTGTTATTGGTAAGGTTTCTGGTCAATAGTATGCTCTTAGTTAAGTTTTGTGGAGTCAAAAATTATATGTGGACTTTCAATTGCACCGAGATCAGTGCTCCTACTCCCCCCACACACATTGTTTGAGAGTCAACTGTGTGTTTAATCATAATAGTTTCATATGGTTAAAAATTTCAAAAGACATGAAAGCATATACCTTTAAGACCCTCTCTCCTTTCTTTCTCTCACAGCCACCTAGTTGCCTTTCAGATGGCATTTTCTACAGTGACATTTTTTGCATATAAAAGAATATAAAAATATTCTTTCCCCACAAAGGGCAAGATACTACACACACTATATTGCACAATGATTTGTTCCCAGAACCAATTCAAAATAATCCTGCATCAGTCTATAAAATGTTTCTTCATTCATTTGTATAGCTGCATAGCATCCCATTGTCTGTATACATCATAATTTTTTAAGCACTCCCCTATAGATCATTTATTTTTTCTCACAAACAACATGGAACTGGCAAGTCAATGGGAATGTGCATGCAATCCCCATGCAAAAGCAAAGTCAAGAGTGCTCTGTGCCCCTGCCCATGGCCAGCAGAAGGTGTCAGCAAACTGTTGAATCTTTTTCCACTAATATCAGGAAAGTTAAATTGCATTATAGATTTTAATCAGTTTTATCCAAAAAAAACACTCCCTTCTAAATGTATATATTAACTACTTTTGACAAATTTGTACATTTGTGAAACCACAACTACAATAAAGATACAGAGCATTTCTATGTTGCAAAAATCCCCTAATGGTCCCCTTTTCAGTCAACCCCCAACCCTGACCCCAGGCAACCTCTGAGCTGCTTTCTGTGACTAATCTGTGGTTATCTTGTGATGAGTGAGGTTGGTCATCTCTTCTTATGTTTAAGAGTCATTTTCATTCTCCTATTGTGAGTGCTCCATTCATACCCTGTTTCCTCCTCAGTTTAATTTTTGTTTTGGTCTGTATAGGAGTTTTATTGTGTGTTCAAAAAAAATTATCATCTTGACATGAGTTACAAATATTTCTTTACAATCTGTGATTTATTTTTGGACATCGCTTATATTTTCATTTAATCAAAGTTTTTCATCTTTTTTGGGGGGGTTGCATCATACTTAAAAAGAATATCTCATTTCAAGATGATAAAGGAATTCTTTTGTGTGTGTTTTCTAAGTGGTTTTAGGTTTTTCAGTGATATTGATCCATCAGAACTACTTCTTGTCAGTTGGAAGACATGGGTTGGGTTTCTTTTTTCAGATGGTTAACATATGTTCTGTCTGTGGAATATATCATCTTTCTTCCATCAATTTAAATGCTCTCCTGAGAGCTCACTTTCGGTTTCCACCAGATGCTGCATTTCCCTGTTTTGCAAGCTGTTCTTCAGAATAAAGTTTCTCCTTTCACCACACCCCTGGTTGAAGACACCTGTTTGCTTGTTGCCAGTCCTTTTGTTGACAAAGTGATGGACACCCTGTTGCTTCTAACCTGCTGTTGTAATGAACATCTTTGTGCTTGTCCCTGTGTGAACCTGGACTCAAGTTTCTCTGGGATGGATTATTGAATCATATTTATTTTCATTTTCTCTATGTCTAGTCTGGATCAACTGCCCACCAATTCATGTAGCTTCTCATTGGCATCAAGAAATCCTTTCTGCTATTTGAGAGACTTCTGTTCAGGACAGTGGCATATGTAAAGGCTGTACCCGCCTCCTCCCACATCCACACTAAAGTTACAACTAAGCTACAGAACAACCATCATTCAGAACTGCCTGGAGTCTAGCTGAATGGAAGTCCTATATAGGGATGTACAGAAGAAGCCACATTGAGACTAGTAGGAGGGACAGAGACACAGATGGACTGGTCCCACACCCACATTTGGCAGTTTAAAATCCAAAGGGTGCCAGAAGCTAATTCCAGCATGTCATAAATGCAAGAAGTTTCATCAAAAGGTTGATGGAACTTGGGTATTCAGCAGAGCTGAAACTACATGTTATTGCCTGTTGGAAATGGCTCAGGGCATTTTCTCACACCTAAATATTTTCATAGATGATTGCTTGCTGCCAGACAGCTGAGGGCATTTCAATCTACATGTTATTGCCTCCTGCTGGCCAAACACCTGAACAGCCAAAGGCAATCTAACAATACCTACTGTATACCGAACTTACCTTTAATATGTATATCTACCTTGCTTTAGGATAATTTGTGTTAATAAAAAGCAAGGGGTCCAAAGAGACAGGAGGACTTGGTTTCTTTAGCTAAGTCTCCTCTGGCTCCCCAAAATGCCTTCCAAATAGATGTTTTGTCTCTGGACTCTTGATTAATTTACTTCAACCCCTTCTCCAGATTCCTGAACCCTTCTAGATGCTGGATAAGACCTCCAGCAAGAGTGATATCTCAGCCATGGAGGTTCCCCCTGAGGAGTGAGGAGTCCCAGCCCCACATCAGGACCCCAATCCCAGGGTTCCAGTGCTGGGAAGAGAAGTCCCCATAAATTCTGGCTGTTAAAACAAGCGGGGATTGAGACTAAAGGAGATGGAGGCTGCTGAAGCCCCATGCAGTTCTTCTTAAAGGGCCTGTGCATAGACTTACTCTGAGCTCCAGTGCTGGGGCAGCAGCTCAAAAGTGAGGGATATACAGGGATAAAGTGAATTATCTGTCTTCAGTTTTCTCCCAGACAGAAGTGCTGGCAGAGGCCATTATTCCTTTACTGAGACCCCCACCCACAGAGCCAGCAAGTGAGTACCATATCTGAGTCTCCATAAACCTGTTCATGGTCAGCAAACTGCTGTTCACCACATCCTAGTGATTTCCTGAGATCCCATCCAACTTGAATGAGCAAGCATACCCTGTATCTCTTACTAAGCAAATCCAATCTTGGCAGTAGTAGCAGCCAGCCTTGGTTCATAGCTTAGCCTCTCCCAGGCACCTCCAATCTCAGCAAAAGCACCAACCACCTGTAGATCACTTGTAGCTCATACCAGGTGGCCATGGGCAGGACAGAGGCAGCCACTGACCTTGCCTGAACCAGAGCCCCACCCAAGAGGCCCCAGAACCAACAAACCTGGTGGCCAGCTCAGACAACACTAGAGCACCACATAACCACCTCCACAAATGACACACCAAGAGGGAGGACTTTGCAGGCACCAGAGCCTCACTAAAGTAAATCCTGCTCCATGATATCAGCCCCTGCACAACAGCAACTCAGCTATAGTCACAGCCCGTCCTCACAGTCAATCAGCGTGAGGGTCAATCATGCCAATAGCAACAAAGGCTCAACTGCAAGAGGAGGACAAACCCAGCCCACACAAGGTAATACTCCTGGAACACCTGGATCAAGTGACCAGGTAGGTTGCCCCACTAGGCCCCACAGGACACCTATTTCATAAGGCCACTCTACCAACACTGGGAGACATAACAGCTCTACCTAATACATAGAAACAAACACAAGGAGGCAGTCAAGATGAGGACATAAACATGTTCCAAATGAAAGAACAGGATAAAACTTCAGAAAAATAACTAAACAAAATGGAGACAAGCAACTTACCAGATACAGAATTCAAAACACTGTTTACAATGATGTCCAATGAACTTAGTGAGAATTTTAACAAAACATTAAATAGGAGATAGAAAACATTAAAAAGAATCAGTAAAAAATGAAAGATACAGTAATTGTAATGAAGAATATGTTACAGGAATCAACAGTATAGAAGATGAGGAAAAGTATCAAATCAGTGATTTGGAAGACAAGGTATTGAGAAACATCCAATTAGAACAGAAAAAAGGAAAAAGAATTTTTTTAAATGAGGATACTTTAAGGCCGTGGTCGGCAAACTGCGGCTCGCAAACCACATGCAGCTCTTTGGCCCCTTGAGTGTGGCCCTTCCACAAAATATCATGGCCTTGGTGAGTCTATTTTAAAGAAGTGGCGTTAGAAGAAGTTTAAGTTTAAAAAATTTGGCTCTCAAAAGAAATTTCAATAGTTGTACTATTGAAATTTGGCTCTGTTGACTAATTAGTTTGCTAACTACTGGTTTAGGGGACCTGTGAACGTCAAGTATAACAACATTCATACCACAGGGAAACAAGAGAGCAAGAGATTGAGAACATATTTAAAGAAATAATGACAAAAAAATAACTTCCCTAACTTAGCCTTAGCTGGTTTGGCTCAGTGAATAGAGTGTTTGCTTATGGACTGAAGGGTCCTGGGTTTGATTCTGGTCAGGGTGTATGCCTGGGTTGCAGGCTTGATCCCCAATTAGGAGCATGCATGAAGCAGCCAATCGATGATTCTCTTCATCATTGATGCTTCTATCTCTACCCTCCCTTTCTTTCTGAAATAAATAAAAATATTTTTTTAAAGAAAAAAGAAAACTTCCCTAATTTGGTGAAGGAAATAGACATACAAATCCAGGAAGCAGAGAGAGCCAAATGAGAGAAACCCAAAGAGGCCCACACCAAGGCACATCATTAAAATGCCAATGGTTGAAGACAAAGAGAGAAAAGCAGTTAATTACATTCAAGGGAGCACCCATAAGACTGTCGATTTCTCAACAGAAACTTTGCAGGCCAGAATGGATTGGCACAAAATATTCAGTGATGAAAAGAAAGGAATTGCAACAAAGATTACTCTTCCAGTAAAGCTATCATTTAAAATTAAGGAGAAATAAAGGGCTTCCCAAGCAAGAAAAAACTTAAGGAGTTAATCATCACCAAACCAGTATTACAAGAAATCTTAAAGGAACTTCTTCAAGAAGAAGTAAAAAGATTAAAAATATGAATAATAAAATGGCAATAACTACATACCTATCAGTAATTACTTTAAATGTAAATGGTTAAATGTTCTAATCAAAAGACATAGGGTGGTTGAATGGTTAATAAAACAAGATCCATACATATGCTACCTACAAGATACTCACTTCAGATTGAAAGACACACACAAACTTAAAGTAAACAGAAGAAAAAAGTATATATTTCATGCAAATGGCAATTTTAAAAAGCTGGAGTAGTAATACCTACAAAGTCTATAACAAAGGCTATCACAAGAAACAAAGAAAGATCCAACAATTCCACTTCTGGATATTTACCCAAAGAAACCCAAAACACTAATTTGAAAAGACATATGCATTCCTATGTTCATTGGGGCATTATTTACAATAGCCAAGATATGAAACCAATCTAAGTGTCCATGGATAGACAAATGGATAAAGAAGAGATGGTACATATACACAATGAAATATTACTCAGCAATCCTATGTAATAAAAGGGTAATATGCTAATTAGATAGGCCAGAAATCGTTCTAGACCTTCTTCCATCCTTTTGGACAAAGCCGAGTCTACAGATACTCACTCACCCGCCCAAGGCTGCAAGGGAGGGAGAGAGGGACAGACCCCGGCCCAGGCACCTGCCCACCCAAGGCTTCAAGGGAGGGAGGGAAGGATGGTCCTAGGCCCAGGCAGCCACTCATGGTTAGGGGTGATCAGGAAGTCAGGCAGAGTGTTAGGGGCAATTAGGCAGGCAGGCAGGTGAGCTGTTAGGATCCAGGGGTCCCAGATTGTGAGAGGGCGCAGGCCAGACAGAGGGGACCAATCCCTTCTCCTTCCCCACCTCCTGTGCACAAATTTCATGCACCAAGCCTCTAGTAAAATAATAATCAAATTTTGCCATCTGTAACAACATGGATTAACCTAGAGGGTACTGTGCTAAGTAAAATAAATCAGACAGAGAAAAACAAATGCCATACTATATCATGTATACATAGATTCTTTAAAAAATAATAATAATAATCAATAAACAAACAAAACAGAAACAAACTCATAGGTTTAGAGAACATTTTGATGGTTGCCAGATGGTAAAGGAGCAGGGGAAATGAGCAGAAAAACTGGAAGGGATTAAGATATGCCAATTGCAAGCTATAAAACCAGTCACAGGGATGTAAAGTACATCATAGTGAATAGAGTCAATAATATTGTAATAGCCCGGTAGGCATGGCCCAGTGGTTAAGGATCTGCCCATGAATCAGGAGGTCACAGTTAGATTCCCAGTTAGGGCACATGCTCAGGTTGCAGGCTTGATCCCTGGGGGCATGCAGGAGGCAGCCAATTGATGTTTCTTTCTCATTGGTGTTTCTATAATCAATTAAAAATGTTTAAGGTGAAATTTTAAAATAATAATTCTATTATAATAACTACATATGGTGTCAGATGAGTACTAGACCTATTAGGATGATCATATAAACTATATAAATCTCTAATCACTGTGTTATAAACCTAATATAATATTACATGTCAACTATAGTTGAAAAATAACAATTATTTTTAAAAATAAAATTAAATGCTCCCTTAACAAAAATGAAATTATCACAGGAATTCAGGTTTATTCTAATCTTGATATTCTACCCATTGGTGTGTCTGATGAGTCATGCATCATGGCCAAAAATTTAATTATGACTATTGAGTTTAATATTTAGTTGAGCTATTTCACAACAACCCCCCCCAATATTATTTTTTTGCACAGCCATGTTTGCTATATTACTTCTCCATATGCACATTAGAATCAACTTGGCTAGTTCCAAAAGAAATCCTCTGTGGGTGATTCTAGCAGACATCCTACTTAAGTATCACTGTTTCTTTTGTAATATTATTCAACAGCAGCAACCACAGGATTCCTAAAGTCTTCCCATTTGTATCTATGTGCTTTTGAGAGCAGGTCCTCTCTCACCGATCTGTCCTCCTTTAAAGTATAAAGTACTACAAGGAGCTTCCAATTTTGTCACAGACGCACGCAAGGAAGTCCAGCCAGGATTCCAACAACTTCCCTGTAGGCCCGGGTGTCAGCATCATGCCACAGCCTTGAATATGCCTCAGCTCCAGCTCCCTCTGAGCCCTCTGGGTACCCCATTCCATGCCAACTCCTAGCCCCCTGCTCTTCCTCCAAACCAGGCCAGCCCCATGAAGATTTCCCACCCACACCACCCTGTCTCCAGGCTATGGGCTCTTTCCTACTGCCAACTCCCTGGAGTTGGGGAGAGGAGACCAGGATCCCCTGGAGCTGGGGGGAGGGGGCCAGGCCACACTCTGAAGGAATCTTTCACCGCCCAACCGCCTGAGCCTCAGCCACCCCACCCAGAATAAAGGCTTGAGGCACTGGCACATGCCAGACACACACCCCTCCCATCCAGCCAATCCTATGGGAACAGGAATGGAGAGATAATAACATCCTGTGAAACAGAATGGGGCTTTAGAGATTGGTCTGGGGGACTCAGAGAGATAGAGATCCTGCAGTGAGGGGCCACCTGGGCTGTCAGGGCCCTGCTCACCTGCTGTTTTCTGGGAGTCGGCATCCCACAGAGCAGGGCTGGGAGAGGCTGGCTTGGACTTGAGGACCTGCTTTCGAGTGGGAGGGAGAAGAGCTGACAGAAGGGGGAGAGAAGATGGGGTCTGACCTTCAGCATCACAACTTCCCAGAAAACTGCTGGGGCCCTTCTTGGGGGGTTCTGTCTTGAGCAGATAATCAGGTGGCTGGAGACAGCAGAGTGCACACAGACACACACACACACACACACACACACACACACACACACACTCGCACACTCGTATCTACTCAGACTGCACACACACTGGGCGAACACATCCACAGCACAGGCAAAGCCATCTGGCTCCTGGTGATCCACTCAACCTTGGAAAACCCCAGAGGGGCCCCTTTGCCCAGCTGGATGCCAGGATACTGCTTGCTAAAGCCCAACCACTCCTTTCTGCTGCTCCTTCCTGATGCTAGATCACCCTCAGCCTGGTCTCAGTGCTCAGCTCCTCCTGGCCTCCCTGCTCCGCTGGCCTCCAATTCCTGGGAGCTTAGGTAAGGCAACCCCCAGCCCCAGCACTTCCCCACAGACCTGCTCACAGGACCCCATTCCAGGGGAATTCCATCCTGCTGCCCCTCACAGCCTCTGCAGCCTCACCCTTCAGAACTTGCTGGGAAGGAGGGAGGGAGGGAGAGAAGGAGAGAGCAACAATGACATAGAGAATGTGACTCCAGGAAGGTGGCAAGAATGGATGCCACCTGCGTCCCTGTTTGATGCCCAATCAGTCTGCCCTTTTAACTCTACCTTCACCCACAATGCAGTCCTTCTGGGGGTGGAGGGGCTTCACCAGGCCCCACATGGCTGGCTGAGTGGCCACTGGTGGAGAGGGAGGTCTTGGGGGGCTGAGGGGTGTCCCCAGGCCCAGCTGCAGCAACAGAAGCTCAACAGGCAGTAGGGACTGGGGTTCTGTCCTGCAGCAGCCTGAAGGCCTGGAAAAAGGCTGAGAGAGGAGCCAGAGCAGGGGGGGGAGGGGGGGGGCTGCAATGGCCCCAAGGAAGCAGAGAAGGGAGAAAGGAAGGAGGCAGGCACTGATTGGTCCAGACCCTGAGGCTCTGGGAGGAAGACTGGGGACTGAGCAGATCTGAGATGAAGGGGGAGGTTCTAGGGGCTGCCCTGCCACAACACCCCTCACCCCTGGAGAGGGGCTCTGGAAGGCTGTTCCAGGACCGATGGGGGGCCGGGGGTTTGGGGGGGAGCTCCACCAGTCCCCAACTCCAGTGGAATCTGTGAAAATCTGCCAACTTTTCTTCCAGCTGCATGTCCAGGACCATGAGGACAGCAGAAGGGGGTGAGGAGGCCCCTGAGGCCCCCATGCCCACCCACATCAATGTGCACAGCCACCAGGAGCCTGTGCTGAACCTGAGCTGCCTGCTGTGGCCTTCTGCCCCCAACACCACCTCCTGGACCCCAGGACACAGACGGCTGCTCGTGGCCTCCTCAGTGAGCAAGGCTGCGGGGAGCAGGGGAGGACCCAGGCCCCTATATCGGGAAAGGAGAGTCTCCCTCTCTAGCTACGCTCACTCTCTGCAGTCTCAATCAGAATAGGACATCGAGTCTGTTGTATCTAATGCCTAGAGATCATTCCCCTGCTCTGTTTTTAGCTTTCTTCATCACTAGCTGGCCTTCCTGGTGAAAACTATAGGTAGGGTACACTGAGGGCTAGAGAGCTGACCACTGAAAGTCCCAGCCTGTGGAACCCTGAGCCCAGCCTCTCCCCTGGGCCAGATACAGAATGGTTGGCACCCCTTCCTCAGTCTCCTGTCCCTCCCTCACCTCTCTTTCTCTACCTTCCTCTCTTCCTCTTGTATGGGGTTCTCACAGTGAGCACCTGGAGCAGCAGGTTCTTAAAGCTTCTCTGAGACTTGGGGGCCAGGTTCTAAGCTCTTCATCTTTCAGGTGGTACAAATCATGCTGGGGCTGATGAGTGGGGTCCTGGGAGGACTTGGCTGCATCGCATTCTCCAACAATTACCCGTATTCCATGGAAAGATGGGTCGCTGGCATCTGGACAGGGGCTGTGGTGAGTGGGGCCAGAGGATGGCAGGCAGGTCAGTGGACCTATCAGAAGGGACTGCCCAACACCATCAATACCGCCACCATCAATGTGGTACTGTGGAATGTTGGCAACCCAAAAGACCCTAAGTTCTCAAGGTCGATCCCCTGTTTCAACAGATGAGAAAAGAACCAGTCCGCTGGCATAGCTCAGTGTTTGAGTGTCGACCTATGAATCAGGAGGTCATGGTTTGATTCCTAATCCAGGCACATGTCCAGGTTGAAGACTTGATCCCCAGTGTGGGACTTGCAGGGGGCAGCCAATCAATGACTCTCTCATCATTGATATATATATATATATATCTCCCTCTCCCTTCCTCTCTAAAATCAATAATTTTTTTTAATTTTTTAAAGAGTCAAGGAAAGTAGTGGCATAAGTCAGCTCTCCCAGATCTCTGCCCAGGGCCTCCCCGACCAAGCTGGCTGCCTCTCCCCACTTTCAACAGCAAATATAAACTAAGTATCTAGGCCCCAGCTAATCGTCAGAAACTTGCATAGAGATGGGAGGCATCCTGCGCTGCAGGGTGTAGGCCCACAGAGAGGGCCACCTCCTAGTCCTTTCACAGTGCCCTCTGCAGGTTCTGCCCCACGGGGACCATGAGGGTGTCATTGAAGGACAATGGCTAATGTCAACAGATGGAAGGGGTGTGATCTGCAGTGGCAGCTTGGTGGGCAGGTCATGGTGGGATTGAAGCCACTTGGCAAACTCATACACACTCACAAAATAACAGCAAAACATATTTATTGAAAGAGGGGCCGAAGTCACCATCCATCCACCGGATGGACCAGACTTCCTGTTCCATGAACTCAGGAGCAGAGCAGTGTGGGGACAGGCGCCAACCTGAGGCAGAGCAGACTCATCCTGAACTGAGAACTTCTCCAACAGCCCAGGTCTTCCACATGAACTTGCAGAAAGCACTGGTGTGGCTTAAAGAGAAAGACTTTGGAGAAAGAGAGAGTTCACACCTGGCTTGACCACTAGCACCTTTAATGTCACTAAAAGAGAGGGTCCCGCAGCCTGAGGAGCATCCAGGCCTCCACACCCTCACTGCTACCTTCCCTCACTACTAGCTTAGCTCAAAACTCCCAGCCAACATATGTTCTGGGGCAAGGCCAGCTCTACCTGTGAGAGTTACAGAGGGACAGGGATTTGGGCAGCTAGAAGGGCTTATGTGTCCCACCTTTCCCCAGGCTGTGCTGGCTGGAGTCATTTGCTTCATTTACGAGAAATGGGGTGGCACCTGCTGGGTGAGTTCGGGGAAAGGCAGAAGCTGAAGGCCACCCCAAATCTCCCGCCCACCTCATTGAACCCCCTTCCCCTGCATTGGTCCCCAAGGGAGACTTAATCATGAGGTCTCCCTGTCTCCTCTTCATCCCAGACCCTGCTGAGGACTCTGCTCGCCCTGGCAGCTTTTGCCACGGCCATTGCAGCCATCTACACTGGGGCTTATTATTTCCAGGAATTAAGCTATGTGTTTGAACAGGAATTGTGTACTAGCCCCCCGTCCTGGGCACCTACCCTCCCCATCAGCACTCCCGAAGAAGCCAAGAGGCAGCACTAGTGCCTGTTCTACCTGGACCTGAGCAAGGTAGGTGGGCAAGGGAGAGGAGCAGCACAGACAGTGCATCCAAAACAGTGTCACCTCTTCTGCACCAAGCTTGACTACTGTCACCACAGATGATGGTGTTGAACAAACAGAAACAGTTCCTGTGGTTGTGGGTGTCACAGCCTAGTGGGAACACAAACACTGAAACAACAGTAAGTGAATCAATATCCCCAGTGTGTGAGGTGCTGCAAAGGCATGAATGCAGCTTTTCCCTGGGTCTTGTCAAGTTTGGGGCAGTTGGGAAACCAAATCATAGCCCAGGCCAATTTCTATTTAGATGAGGATGCTGAGGCTCAAGGAGAGGGACCTCTTGTACACTAGACCTGTTGACCCTGCCACACACAGTGCTACTTCCTTAGTCCCCTCCAGCCCCCTACAGACCAGGGTGGAGGGTGTCTGTGTGTCGGTGATGAGGCTAGGGACAGATCACAGATGGCAACGGTCACTCTGGTGCCTGCAGCTTTGCTCCTCTGTTCTCAGTCCCTGACCATTGGCCTTAAGGCCATGCTGTTGAGTATCTGGGTTCTGCTGCTTCTGACTTCTCTGACCCCCATGTTTCTGTACTGCTGGAGAAGACTCCAACCCAAGGAGGTGAGTCCCAACATATGTGTCTGTGTGTTTGAGGCAGGGGGCTATGCAGCTAGGAGATAGAATGGAGAGTGGGCAGCTGGGCAAGAGAAAAGGCCCCATGACAGTGAGTCCCAAGAACATCATGCCTGTCTTTCTACCGCAGTGGTGTCCCAGCCCAGAGAGCCACTGTTCCTGACCACATGGCCCCAGGCCAAAGACCCCAGGAATCCAGGGAAGTCCATACCCATGGTGGGACTTTGGGGCCCTTTGCATTTGGTACCATGAGGATGAGGATGGATCTGGTTGGCTCCAGTACTAAGCTGCCTTTGAGGAGAGAATTTGTGTTTCCTCTCCCCTTCTGTGTTGGCTCATCTCCTCCTTCTCCTCTTCCTCTTCCTCTTCCTCCCTTAGAAAAAAGACCAGAAGCCATTGCTGGGAGCAAGTATAATCTAGCCCTGCCTCTCCTGAGTACTCATGCCTGGAGCTCCTTCTGCATCCATGTCCCTGCGTCTGACTCCTTGAGTAAGAACCAGACCAAGGAAATGAGACCTTCTAGTGACCCCAGTTATCCTGCCCCACAGCCAGGGCCACAGCCACACCCTGTCCAACAACCCTCACAGTGCCTCTCACCTATTTCTTGCACTCCTCCGCCATACTGCCCCACTTCATGTCCCCTCTTGAGCAGGATGATAATAAACTCGTACATTGTTGGTCCCAGCTTCGCACTTAGTTATTCCAATGAATTTCCCTTGGTTGGGGAGGCAGTGGAGAGTGAGCCAAGAGCAAGCCCATTCCCAGCATCGAGAGTTGCTGGCCCACTGTATTTTGTAAACTTCACCAGGTACTATTTACAAGAAACATGTCTAAAACAAGGATACGGAAAAATTGCGAGTAATAGGATGGAAAACATTTATAACAAATAACAAGCTCTGTTAAAATCAGAGATTAAGGCAAAAAGCATTCCTAGAGATAAAGTGGTCAGTCTTGCCAGCATTCTCTCCTTCCTTCTTCCAATTCATTCCTTCCTTCCTGGGACCAGGACCCCACCCCTCCAGCTGGAGGAGCCAGATTATGGTCAAAGGGATAAGTCAGAGCCATGGTGCAAGAGGAAGACCCAAGGAGCCTGGCCTTCTATAGCACAACAGAACGTGCCCATGTTTGGCTTACCTTTGAATAACTTTATATGAGGTAAAGTAATTCCTTGCTAATTTTTTTAAATGAAATTTTTTTTTCTTTTTAAACCATTTATAATAGAAAAAAAATAGGGGTAAAGTTAGCTAGGACTAATTCTAGACAGACAATTCATTAATAAACAGACATTATTGGAAAATATTTATGAATAGCTAAATAAATAGAAATATATGCACCTGTCTAGGAAGGGAAAACTCAGTTTTGTAAAGACGTCATCACCCTCCAAATTTATACCTAATTTCAATGTGATTCCAATCAAAATTTCAGCAGAGTTTTCTTAGTACCTTATTAGCCAATTCTCACATTGATACAGAATCAAAAGACCAAGAACAGCAACCTTCAGTTTTCTCTCTGTATCCTTGAATCTGTTTTTGTTTGTTTGTTTAGATTTCATATATAAGTGAAATTATATGGTATTTGTCTTTCTCTGTCTGACTTATTTCACTTAGCATAATACCCTCTAGATCAATCCATGTTGTGCAAATGGTAAAATTTCATTCTTTTTATAGCCAAGTAATATTCCATTGTATATAGTGCTACCTCTTATTTATCCAATCATTTATTGATGGGCATTTGGGTTGCTTAAAAAACTTGGCTATCCTATATAATAAAGAGATAATATCCAAATTGACCATCACACCCTTGCACAAGATGGCCACCCCCATGTGGTCACAAGATGGCCACCCCCATGTAATCATAAGATGGCCAGCAGGGGAGGGAAGTTGTGGAAAATCAGGCCAGCAGGGGAAGGCAGTTAAGGGTGACCAGGCCGGCAGGGGAGGGCAGTTGGGAGCAACCAGGCCAGTAGGGGAGAGCAGTTAGGGGCAACCAAGCCTTCAGTAGAGGGAGTTGAGGTGGCCAGGCCGGCAGGGGAGGGCAATTGGGGACAACCAGGCTGGCAGGGGAGGGCAGTTGGGGGTGAACTGGCTAGAGGGGAGAGCATTTGTGGGCAACTGGGTTGGCAGGGGAGGGCAGTTGGGGGCAATTAGGCTGTTAGGGGAGCAGTAAGGCATTGATCAGGCTGGCAGAGGAGTGGTTAGGGGTGATCAGGATAGCAGGAACAAGCGGATAGGGGCAATCAGGCAGGCAGGCAAGTGATTGGGAGCCAGCAGTCCCAGATTGTGAGAAGGATGTCCAATCCCTTTGGGATTGGGCCTAAACCAGCATGTAGACTTCCCCTGAGAGGTCTCAGATTGGAGAGAGTGCAGGCTGGGCTGAGGGACACGCCCCCATGCATGAATTTCATGCACTGGGACCTCTAGTTGTAAATAATGCTGCAATGAACATAGAGGTACATATATAATTTCAAATTAGTGTTTTGGATTTATTCAGCTATATTCCCAGGAATGAAACTGCTGGACCAAATAGTAGTTCTATTTTTTAATTTTTTGAGGACCCTCCATACTATTTTTCATAGTGGCCGCACCAATTTGCAATCCCACCAACAGTACATAAGGATTTCTTTTTCTCCACATACACACCAACACTTGTTGTTTGTTGATTTGTTGATGACAACCATTCTGTCAGGTATGAGGTGATATTTCATTGTGGTTTTAATTTGTATTTCTCTGATGATTAGTGACATTGAGCATCTTTTCATATATCTGTTGGCCATCTGTATGTCATCTTTAGAGAATTTTCTATTCAGGTCTTCTGCCCATTTTTAATTGGATTGTTTCGGGGAGTGTGTGTGTGTGTGTGTGTGTGTGTGTGTGTGTGTGTGTTGAGTTGTATGAGTTCTTTATAAATTTTGGGTATTAACCCTTTATCAGATGTATTATTGGCAAATATCTTCTCTCATTCAGTAGGATGTCTTTTTAAATCCTCACTGGAGGACTAAGGGTATTTTCCCATTGATGAGAGAGAGAGAGAGAGAGAGAGAGAGAGAGAGAGAGAGAGAGAGAGAGAGAGAGAGAGAGGAAAGAGAGAAAAAAAAATCTATGTGAGAGAGACACATTGATTGGTTGCCTCCTATATGTGCCCCCAGGAGTGGGGATTGAACTTTCAACCCAGGTAGGGAACTGAATCCTTGGCCCTCCAGTGCACAGACTGATGCTCTAACCACTTAGAACATTGGCCAGGACAAGCTGGTTATCTTTTTATTTTGTTGACATTTCCTTTTCAAATTCAATTTGAAATAGTCTCATTTACTTATTTTTTCCTTTGTTTCCCTTACCCGAGGAGATGTATCAGGAAAAAAATATATATTACTAAGAGCAATATTAGAAAATTTACTGCCTGTTTTCTTCTAGGAGTTTTATGATTTTGGGTCTTATATTTAAGTCTTTAATTCATTTTGAATTTATTTTTGTATATGGTATAAGAAGGTGTCTAGTTTCATTTTTTACATGTATTTGTCCAGTTTTCTTAATAGTATTTATTGAATAGACTGCCTTTACCCCATTGTATATTTCTTGATTCCTTTGTCATAGATTAATTGAACCATAAAGACATCATTTTATTTCTGGGTTCTCAATTTTGTTTGATGTCAAGTAGCATGATACCTCCAAGTTTGTTCATGTTTCTCAAGATTGCTGTGCTAATCAGGGTCTTTGTGACTTTATATAATTATTTGTTCTAGTTCTGTGAAAAAATGTCATTGGTATTTTGATAGGATTACATTGAATCTATAAATTGTATGGACATCTTAACAATGTTAATTCTTCCTCAGCAAAAGTCTCAGGGTACAGCAGCCACCCAGTAGGGCCTGCAGACCTTGAGGTCTGGCCAAGTTTCACGGAGTCCTCAGGCTGGAGCTAGGCTAATGCAGGTTAACTTGAACCCAGCTCAACAAAGGAAAAGTAGCACCCAACTGCCGTGCATATTTCTGGCACCCCCTTAGCCACTGTCCCTCTGTATGTGGGCCCTTTAAGAAAATGTCTGGGTTTCTAGCAGCCTTCCATTTCATGAGGATGGTGGAAACCCCACTGATATTTACAGTCAGATATTATGTGGCCTCCTCTTCCTGGCACTGGTGTTCCAGGCTAGGAAGCCTTGAGATATACCTCGGGATTCTCCACCACTCATGTGGTGTGGGGCCTGCTCCTTTTGTGTTTCTGCCCTTCCTACCAATCTCCATGTGGTTTCTCCATTTTTTCCTTAGTTATAGGACTTCTGTTCAGCGAGTCTTAGTATGGTTCTCCAGGCTGATGGTTCCATAATTTAGTTATAATGTTGGTGTGGTCATGGAAAGAGGTGAGTGCAGCCTAGATGTTTATGTGAGAAAGAAACTTATGCCATTTCACGTATTCTGTCACTTACAACCAGACGTTACTCTAATTAATACATTTTCACCTCAAAAATAATGAGAACTCAGTCTGTCCAGTAAATATATTGTAGATAAAATCCATCATTTAAAGGACAGTCCCAGAAGCCGGAAAATGTACCCTGCTTACAGCTGACTGAAAACTGTTTTTGCAGTCAGAGTAAGGCTAATTATGATCCCCAAAGAAACACTCTAGCTGTCGTGATCCCGGCAGAAAACAGATGGCACACTCAGCGTGCTCAGAGTGAGTCAATTGAGAAGCGTGTGGTAAAGGGACTATTTACAAAGATGCCAGCAAAGTTTGGGGAAAACTGTAAGTGACGATACTGTAAGGTTTGAGGCTCAGGAAACTGACCACCAAGGAGTTTTAAAGTAAAGTTTATTCCCCAGTAATGAGCGGGACTCATTATGGATGTAGAGAAATCAGAATTGAAGGAATTGGGAGGGGGGATGGACCCAGCCCGGCTGCCACCTGAACATGGAGGATCAGCAGCACGTGGCTGGTCTGGGGGTCTTTTTAAGGGGAGGAACAGGAGAGGGTTGGACCCAGGGCAGAACAGGAAGGGGTGGACTCCAGGACACTTTGGCAGGCGCTGATTGATGGCTCAATGTCTTGGAGATGTCTCTGTGACAGATGCCAGTAATGTCATAACTCCGCCCACCAGTTGGGAGGAGGGAGAACCTTATAGATACAACACTGGGGTTGGTAATCAAGGTAGGTCAGGAAGGGGGTCAGCACCCTTGAGGCCAAAAGGTGAGGAAAGGAAGTACTTACTGTGTTTCAGTTGGGGAACAGAGTGAACTGGTGGAGGGGGTGCTTCACTGAGCTTCCCAGAGAAGCACAGCCAGCCTGACATGATCTGCCAGTGAGGGCCTTGGGGAGTAAATGCCCAAACTGCCCTCCGCTAAGATCTTGCTAACGTTTCCTACTGACCAAACCAGCCAGAAAGGAAGTCATAGAACAAGAGAGCCCATTGATGTGATCCATATGAGACATCCATCTGGGGGACAGAGAAGGCCAGAGAAAGGTGGGAAGAATATCTGGAGAGGCATAGAAAAGATATCCAGAACAACGACTTTTGTGTGTCTGTGAAGAAATTAGGTTGAAAACTTCGCAAAGACATAAACCTGCAAACTCAAGTAGCTCAGTTGAACCCAAAGGAGGCTAACACAACAGCCTACAAGCCCATTCATATTGTAATCAAGCTGCTAAAGACTAAAGAAAAAAATCTTGAAAATAATTCAATAAAAATGGCCCATT